TTTTGAAACCGGGTCCCAGAGTGGATAAATCTGAAAACGCCACCCTTGCGTTTTTTTTCATGTGGCGAATCCGTATATTTTCTGAAACGATGACGTCATCAGCCCACGTCTCGCCCTGAGTCAGACACCGCTACGTCACGTAACAGCAACAACAACAACATGAACAAACACTGAACGATTGTCTTGTTATTAACTAACATTAACACAGATTAATAAATGTATTGTTCCATGTTCGTTTGTATACCGCGCGCAAGGTTTATGCGCATAGTCCAAGTCTTCTTCTTTGTTTTTAGTGTATCTCTGTGGCAGAATTACAGCGCCACATACTGGTCTGGCAGGTATACTACATCGTTTTGTGTCGGTTTCGTGTGAACGCAGATATTTCTTGAGACGAGGGGAAAAAAAAGATCGGATAGGGAAAGCTCTGGCTTCGTGTGGACGTAGCCGGAATCATCTAGTGAAAGAACGCACTCTAAATGCGCACACACACTAGTCTAGACTTCACGTAATGTATGCGTGCACTTTGTAGTGGTGTTTTGAACGTTTTTTGCAAAATACTCGATAATGTCAAATCGCACATTGTTAAAACAACAATTACGATATTATCGCAGACGGTATATATGGCACACCCCTAGTAAACACACACACACACACCTGGTGGGGTATTCGTCCTTCCTGTTGATACATATGGCCTGACCCCGGCTGTACCATTTGTTGTCATAGAACAGGCGTCCATCTTCTGATCGGGCAACATGATGGTGTCGTTCTGGTTTCAAAGGAGCTGACACACACATACAGTTCAGAGACCTGCAATGCTTTTCCACAACTCACTCAAGACTGTCTTTACAGTCTATACAGGCTGATATAGAGATTTTACACACAAAAATATAGAAAACAATGCTCAAAATCCTTCTTACCATTAGGCCCGTCACGATAACAACTTTTTGTTACACACTTTCAAATGACAACAAACATTCGAATCTTAAGAATATTTAGAACATGGAAATTAAGTATCAAAATATTAGATACCTTAAAAAACTTTTTCTCACAAAAAGTGACAAGTGACAAGTAGAAAAAAAGAAAAATGCACAAAGAACTTGTATGGAGATTTTTCCCTGGCCTTCTTTTCTCTGTAAATTAAGGGTGCACACTATTGCTGAAAAACACAATCACTACTTAGCAGTCAGATGTCCGTATGCACAAAGGCACAGATCCCTAAACAAAGCCATATCATATCTGCAGATGAAACTTTTTTTTTTTGTAGAAGCACTTTTTAAATTTGAACTAGCACCTCATGACTACACCACGTTATGTACAAGAAGCTGCAAAAGATATAGGTGCAAGTGGAATGCAAAAAACATGGTGGCATTAATTTTTATGTAAATATAACGGGCGATATATTGCGTCAATGATTGAGGTCATGTACATATATTGTGCGATAAGTCAATATATTGATTATTGCGACAGGCCTACTTACCTTCTCTATGAGGACCCATTGAAGCCATTGCCTATGGAAAACCAAGTAGTTTATTAATGGAAAACGAATAGCTCATTTTCAAATATTTAAATAAATAAAAATGTAAACATAGATATAAATGGACACCTGCAAAAATAGAAAAAAAAAGTTTTTCCAGGATACATCAGGATTTGTCTTTATAGCAATGATCTTCAGCATGATGTCAGCCAATTTTTTGCTTATAACGATAATGTCTAATTTGCAGACATTTGTCATTATTATTAAGATTTTTAACATGTAAAAACTGAGCTAAGAATGATATAAGAAATCTAAATAAATAAACAGTTGAAGTAAAATAACCTTTCTTATGGCAGTCCAGTCTTCAAGTATATCCAGGTCTTGCAACATGTAAACAATGTATGGTCGTGGGACGGCTCAGGAAACCAATGTTATAGCAATAAGGCAGCTGCCGTAAACACATAGAAAAACACTCGCAAATGTGCAGCACTAGCTACTATATAAAGGATATCTGACACAACGACAGGTTTCTTCTTCTTCTTTCTAGGACTGAGGGGATCCTTCTTTTTATTCTTCTTAGACTGCAGACCATCATTCCACAGTTCTGGTGCAAAAAGCACATCAATTAATTATAAGTGAATACAATATTTAAATTTACAGTTTACCATCTGTATTTTACCTGAAGTTATATCTATACTGTGTCTGTCCTCCTCCAGTCGTCTGATCTTCTCTTCCAGTTCACTCTGAACCGTGTCGAAAAGCAGGAGCTTCTCACTCTGTGGAAACACATCATGAATACTGAATATTAACATTAAACCTCAGTGAGAAATTGAACAAATTAAAGAAGCAGGGCAGTCTTTAAGCAGGAGAAGACGGTGGGAATATGAATGAAATGTGGGGCCACCACAAATTTTGTCCTGGGCTCTGTGAATTTTACCTCCCAATGCTGGCTGGCTGCTTGCATCTCACAGTCGTATTTGTTTCTTACAGATTCCAAGCAGAGCTCACGATAGATCCCTGAAATAATATACATGAGCAAACAGTGAGTATAAGTTTTTCTTTTGATAATTTCAAATCAGCATATTAGAATGATTTCTGAACGATTTATGAAAAAAAAAATCAGCTTCACATTACAGGAACAATTACATTTTTAAATGTTAAAAGCTATTTGAAAATATAATAATGTTACAACATTAGGCTACTGTTATTGCTGTATTTTTTATCAAATACATACAGCCGTGATGAGCTTAAGAGACTTTCAAAAACATCTTACAAAACCAAACATTTTACCAACATCTACAACCAGTTAACCAAGGTTATATGTTAGACGTAGATGCAAAATATAGGCTAATGTTTGATGTAAGCATTATAACAGTATGTAAATATATTAATATGGTACTACAGTACATGATATAGGCCCAGCTTTAAATACAACGCTCCTGACCTGAAACAGGTTGAAGGCCACTGCTTTACAGTATAATATATAACAAACATACACAATGACTGAATACCTGTAAACTACATAAACTACAGAGTTTAAATACTTCTGTAACGCCTTTGCATAAACAGTATGTTTGTCTGGAGCTGACCTGCGACTTTGGTTCGGATCTGCATGTTCTCCTGCAGGGTGGCCAGGGGTTCGAGGTATTCCAGAGCACTGCCAGCTATCACTTCTTGCAATTTGAGATCCACCTGAGTCAGCCTCTCCTTATACAAACTAAAGAGAGTCATAACATACCAGCTGGAGTCTTCACATGAAATATGTTACCCTGGACCACAAAACCATTTTTGCATAATCTGAAAGCTGAATAAATAATGCTTTCCATTGATGTGTGGTTTGTTAGGATTAGACAATATTTGGCTGAAATACAACTATTTGAAAATCTGGAATCTGAGGGAGCAAAAAAAGCTAAATATTGAGAAAATCGCCTTTGAAGTTGTCCAAATGAAGTTCTTAGCATTTAAAATTAAGTTTTGATATATTTACGGTAGGGAATTTACAGAATATCTTCATGGAAGTTTACCTAATATCCTAATCATTTTGACCCATACAATGTATTGCTGGCTATAGCTACAAATATACACGTGCTACTTAAGACTGGTTTTGTGCTCCAGGGTCCCATATTGCAGGTTTTCATGACATCACTTACTGATCCTTCAGGTCTGTGAACTGCTTCTCAAGATTTGTCATCTCATCTAAACACTCCATTCGCCTTCTTTCACAGTCTTCATCATCCATGTCTGCAAGAACATCACCATCATTATTACTCTCCCACACGCAACATAAGGCTCGTGGAGTGTCCGTCTGTAAACGTTACCTGAAGTGTCTCCATCCTCAGACACGCTCGAGCTCACGGAGTCCTCTTCCTCGGAGCTGCTGGCCTCTTGTTCGGGATAGTCCACGTCCATTTCTTCGTGGTTATTCTCTTTTCTATCACGCGGGTGAGCTGGCATCCTATATGAATAATTTGATACAGTAAACAACCCACTGAGACGAAGACGACACCACCGGCCGGCGAAGAAAATCACGTTTCAAAAATGGATTCGCGGATGACCAATCATCAGGCTGCTAGACACGTGACTTCATTAAACCTGTAAGCTCATTGGTCAGATTCTGTTTACACATAATCTGGTGCATAATGGGATCTGTAGTACTTTAATTTGAATGGCCTACCAAAATTGCTAAAAGCACCAGAAGTTGGTTTGCCATCCGCCATAAAACGTTATTAGAAGAAGAAGAAAATTGCTAAAGCATCACTACAAGCACGGACGAACGAACGAACACACACACACACACACACACACAAATACTTTTATAGATATTTGTGTTATTTTCTGTCAGGCAACAATGCATTAGTAGATTTAAACATACATTTACATTTAGTCATTTAGCAGACGCTTTTATCCAAAGAGACTTACAAATGAGGACAATGAATGCAATCAGAATCAACAAAAGAGC